GATGCATCCACGTCTAGGTGGTAGAGTGCGAATATGCCCCCTCAGAGTTGTTTTCTTTTTGTTTTTCTCTTTCCTTTTTTTTTTTTTTTTTTTTTTTTTTGAAAGGACGACGGCCTCGGGATATTATCATTCAACTGACGCGCCCCAGGAAAAAAAAAAAGATTTGATTGCCTGGATGTGGTGGCCCGTGGATAAACCGTTGGATGAGCAGTTGCGCTGGATGCGAGGGCGGAGTGTGCAACTACTGCCTGTGTGGCAGATGCCTTGTATGGTGTTGCATGCGTGTATGTGTGAGTTGAAGGCGACTACAGCCATGCAGGGGTGGGGTGGATATCCCGGCTCGTGAGGCCGAGCGCGCCGGTTCAAATCCGTGCGTGCGCAGAGGAGGTCCTGTGGATGAAAAAGTACAGACTGCATCTGGATTCGAACTTGGGCCTGTATTCCAACAGTTCACGGGTGCACCGATTGAGCTAGGCCCGTCGGGAAGATAGGAGTGTGGCTACATGTTGACATCTGTATTGCCAATGCTCTTGCAGCATCCATAAAAGCAGTCTTAAGAGACTCTTACTTAAATAAGCATTCTTTTTTTCATTTTGTATGTTCTCCTTTTGTTGATTGGCCCCAGTGGGCCATTGTTACATGCTGCGCCTGCACACGGGCCCCATTTGAGGGGCACGACGGTTGCTGAGGGGCCCCCAGGCCGCGTACCATACAGCACGCGCCCTGGAGGCCCACGGCGGCCTAGGTAGATAGACTTTGTTTTACTTACCTTCTTGTGCGTGTGTGATTTTTGTCTGTTCAGATGCCGTTTCGGCCTTGCAGCCCCAAGGCCGGACCTTGGGACTGGGTACATCGGAGACAGGCCCGAAATGAGGTCAGGCGCATTTTGGCGCCAGACCGGTAGGTGCAGACGTCGTTTCGGTCCTGCAGGTCCCGAGGCGCCGCCTTGGGCCAGGTGCACAGGACCGGGGCCGTTTTTAGGCCAGGCGCATTTCTGCGCCTTGCTGCATCAGCAGCATGGTCTGGACGTCCGGTAGGGACCCAGACCAGCTGGGCCGTTTTCTGAGGCCAACATCAGGTAGGCCCAGCCCGCCCAGCGCTACAAATAGCTGGGCAGCGCTGGGCAAGGACAGTTGAAGTAGCTCACTTCTGGAGCGACACGCTGCTGGTTGGAGGCAGCGTTATTTCGCGCTAAGCTACGGAATAGGAAGTGGCGGCATAGGTAGTAGAGAGAGGCGGAGGCCTTACCTGCAAGCGGCGAGCTTACCTGGCGCCATAGCCGGGCTCCACGCGGTACCTGCACATGACGACCTCCACAGTCAGTACGGTGACAGCTACCTGCAGGTGAGATAGCAAGGAGGATGTCATCTTCTTCTTCCTCCTCCATCTCTTTCTCTTCCTCCTTCTTCTTCCTCCTTCCCCCTCCTTCTCATCTTCTTCTTCACATACGAGAGCGAGAGAGGTTATCGGTAGGTGATACAGGCAAAGGTTATGTTGGGCACATTGCCCAGGATCTGATTCGACATTTTTGGGACAGACATTGATTGGACACTTGGCAAGGGACTATTTTTGGGACTTCGCTATCGCGATCTTGGTCTACTCCCTTGCCTCCTCCTCCCCCCATCTCTCATCCGTGGTATCTCCCCATGTATGTGTGCGAAGGAGCGACCTTCCTTCTGTGATTGCGGTCCCTCCTCCCCTCTCACATGTGTGATGTATGATGGATGTCGGGTCAGTCCAGATCAGATCAGATCTTCTCTTTAAAGTTTTCCGCTGCGCCACCTTGTGCCACCTTGTATGTATCGGAATGTACATTGCTTGTTGATGCTACGCTGACCTTGCATTGTCCATTTCAGTCCTTTTTATCACATTGCGGATCCTTGGCTCCTTACGCATTGTCCCATTGGGCATGCGTCAGCCATAGTCTGGCTTGCAACCTCTACAACAACCAGGACTTGACAAAAAAAAAAAAAAAAAAAGCCAAGTACCTGCTCCAGGAGTTTCTTAACTGCTTCCACATCGTTGGCCTTAACAGCATCTTTCATTCCCTGTGGAATAGAGTCACGAGAAGACGAAAACAAAGTGTCGGCATGGCGTTCACCGCCACGAATACAATCATCAATTCACCACATCATGGCATGAACAACATCATCGGTATCTGTCATTTAGTTTGATTTAAATTGATTTTAAAATGAAATAGATTTTGAAGTCTGAATGATTTAATCCATCATCATAATGAATAATGAAGTTACCGATTTACGAGACAAAGGGGAGAGGTCGACGAGTGCGGGCCAAGGGATAGGAGAGGTGGAAGGAGGAGAGGGGAAGAGCCGGGGAGAAGTGCAGAGAAGGAGAGCGGAGGCTCCCATGGCATGCTGTCCCCCCACTGGGTTGGTAACAAGTACTAACAACCTAAAAACCACTCATTTGTGTTTTAATTTCTTCAGGTCTGTGTTGCACAGACCGAAAAAAAAAAAAAAAAAAAAAAAAAAAAAAAAAAAAAAAAAAAAAAAAAAAAAAAAACAATGGTAGCAATGAGAGTATTGGAAAGAGGTGTGAATGGCGTAAGAGGGAAGAATGAAGAGTGTAAAACAGATCAAGAGTTCAAATCCTCTGTTTTCGCTCTGATCATAGAAAGGGAACAAATTTCGACAAAATGAATAGAATGGAGAATGGAGCGGAGGAGGAGGTTTTGTTGTGTTATGATGGGTATAGGGTACTATAGGTTCTTTATAACTGTGACTGCCTTGGCATTGGTTTGTTTGTTTCTTGGAGATCCGTCAGTTCTGCGCAGTTATATAAATCATAAATGGATTGGAGGTTTTCTAACCAATTGGAAGCGAGCCTGTAACCAAATTCAAAACCATAATATGAAAGATTGGATAGCAAGTTTCAAAATCGAAGACATGTTTTTTTGTGCCGTGCTGAGTAGGAGTAGGAGTAGGAGTAGGAGTACGAGTAGAAGTAGACTGAAAGGGGGTAAGGCAACACCATAGAGGCGTAACTAGAAGGTCAACAATGAGTACCTTCACCCTAAACTCACCCCCTTTTGAATCAAATTGAAAAGACAGAGTGCAAGGCTTTGCTTGTCACCGAGGATGGGATCTCTTACATCAAAAAATGGAAGTTATGTAAGAGAAACTCACACAATTGCCATTCTGCCTTGTCCACTCAGGCATAAAAAAACTTAAAAAAAACTTACGAAAAGATTTCATACAAATGTAGAAAAACCTCAGAAATAGAAAAACCTTGTAGAAAAAAACTAGGAGAGAAGTGGAAAGAGACTTGGGAGGCTGTCGGACAATCTAAGATAGTGATCTCGTTTGGGGACAAAATAAAGAGGGTATATAGTTCTTCCTATTTCCTCAGCCACCCACCCACTCATCCACCCCTACCTTCTTCTCCTCTCTCCATCCTACTATCGATAAAAATTTTCCCTGTCCTCACAAGGCGAGGCAAGAATGTTGTTTCTTCTGCTCAGAAATAAGTCACTCTTCAACCAATGGGCCTAGCTCAGTCGGTACAATCATGAACTGTTGAAGTACAGACCTGAATTTTTAAATCCAGATGGGACCTGACGAATGGAATCAAGTAATTCTGGATTACCTTGTGTGAGTACACGCAGAGAGAAGTTACAAAGTAACCTGATCAAAATGTGTGACAATCTAACAGGAAAAAACAAAAAACAGGAGAAGCCTCAGATAAAAGGAGTAAGTGAGTGATCATTTTCCATAAGAGGGACATACATCGTACGCATACTCTCAGAGTACATAGTACATACTACATAGTAGTAAAAAAAAAATAAAAAAAATAAAAAAAATCTTGTATTTCGGTGTAATAAAACCATAGGTTTAGGGTTTGAGTCCCTTTTCTGAGTTTTTTTTTTTTTTTTTTTTTTTTTTTTTTACTACTATGTACACATAGTACAATGTACTGTACTCTTATGCTACATAGTATGCATAGTCTGACAGTACATAGGACATAGTAGCACATAGTATACAGTACATAGTAGTAGAGGGACACACATAGTATGCATAGTCTGAGAGACATAGGACATAGTAGCACATAGTACACAGTACATGATAGCACACAGTACAGACATAGCACCTAGTACATTGTACATACAGAGCACATAGTACATTGTACATACATAGTGCTTAGTACATAGTACATACATAGTATACATAGTACATAGTACATAGTACATAGTACATAGGACGTCCACTTGTACATATAGAAATCACCACCAACCAAGCCTGAGTATGTGCAGCCTCCAGCTTGAATCTTTTTCATCTATAACCACGTGCAATCCATCTCCTAGCGAAACCACTCGACCAATTTCATGCACTTGTATTTCGGTGTAATAAAACCATAGGTTAAGGGTTCGAGTCCCTTTTCTGAGTTTCTCCTTTTGTACAGTGCAGTCCGCTGTGCGCGGTGCGCGCGCTGAGGGAGGTGAGCCCTGTGCGCGATAAAAAAAAAAAAAGAAAAAAAAAGA